GTGTAGTGTTCGATGAGTCAGTCAATGAAACAAATGTAACGTTAGAGAATATAGAATCATTCGATAAAACGGTGCAGACGAACACTTGTGGTGAATATCGAAGCTTTCCTCTGATGGCGTCACGTATTCTTAAGATGATTAGTAAATTATTCAGTGTACCTGAATATCGTGTGCTAACTATGGGTCTCGATGCATCAGGAAAAACAACAATTCTTTATAAATTAAAACTCAATGAAACTATTCAAACAATTCCAACCATTGGTTTCAATGTAGAAGTAGTAAAGTTTAATCATACTTCTTTAACTATTTGGGATGTGGGTGGACGTGATAAAATTCGCCCTTTGTTAAGACACTATTTTGAAAATACACAAGCTGTTATTTTTGTGATTGACTCAAATGACAAAGATCGATTACCAGAAACAACAGAAGAGTTGTGGCGTGTATTAGAGGCCGACGAATTAAGAAACTTACCTATATTAATCTACTTAAATAAAATAGATTTACCTAATGCAATGAAATCGAACTATATTACTCAAGAAATGAAACTGAATAATATTAGAAATAGGCAATGGTATTTGCAACCATGTTGTGCTTGTACGGGTGATGGTTTGTACGAAGGTTTAAGTTGGTTAATAAGTGCGTTGAAATCGCCACATACTTCGGAATCTACATATACAACTATGAAATCAACTGCTTCGACAAAAACAATTGAGAACGATCGTCATGTAGATAAGTCATTAGAATGGTTGACTCAAATAGATGATGACACAAATGAAGACTTTCTCGAGAAATTCGAAAAACATCAACTTCCTGTTGAGACATTTGATCATCGAACATTGTTGAGAACAATATGGGTTTATTTAACAATATATGGTAGACAAAAAACAGTTAAAGTAGTATTTGATCATCTCAAGATTTATATTAGAGATATGAATGAAACATTGATTTATTTTTGGATTCAAATTTTACATTATGCATTCGAAGCAACAAAAAATCCAACAAATGATTTTACAGGTTTCCTATTAATGAATCCTCAATTACTCAACGAAACTGATCTACCATTGAGTTATTATAAAAAAGATACATTATTTAGTAATCAAGCAAAAACAACTGTTGTTCTGCCAGATATAAAACCATTGCCAAATATTTTACCAGGATCATCTGCTTCTGATATCAATAAAATGAAGAACAAAAATGACTCGACATTTGAATCATTCATTGATGAATTAGACGATGACGAATTTCAAAAACAATTTGAATCATATACATTAAAAGGTTGGTCTCATAAAACTCACTTACGTATTACATGGCTTTATTTGACACATGATGGACGCCGTGTAGCAGTCAACAAAATATTTAATGGTATCAAAAATTTCATTCAAAATAGTCCAATTACACAAAAGACAACATTTCACTTTACAATGACATATTTCTGGATTCAAATGATTGATCTAGCTATTGCACAAAGTCCGAAACAGATCAATTTCGAAGAATTTCTTCGTTTAAATCCTCATTTACTCAACGAAAATTTATTTCTTGAATATTACAAAAAGGAAACAGTCTTGAATAATCCCATTGCTAAACAAGAAATGGTATTGCCGGACATCAAACCGTTACCAACCTTTGTTACAGTCAACAACAACAACAACAACAAAAAGTAAACTTATCAAGTTCCATGTGGACATCAGCTGCGTATAAATTTCTGTATGAAAATGATTTTTGATGCATAAAGGAAGCTTCTTTTTTTTCAAAAAAAAGGCACGAATATTCAGAATCAACCAAGATAGAGGTCTCTAAGATTCATATCCAGCTCAGTAAATGATGAAAATAATTCTTATTTAACAATATCAAACTACACAGAAGTATGATTCGTATTTTGTCTAGATCTCAACTAGGTTCTATATTAACCTTTGACAAATGGTTATGGCTACTCGAATTTATCGTTAACGTAACTATCGATAGGTGCATGCGTCAGGTGATTTTTCTCAGCAACCATTCTCATATTAAGATAACTCTAAACTACTAAGTTTATTTATGCTTTTCTTTCTTGTCGTGAAAAACTAGAGTCATGAAAGAAGAAAAAGTCGAATAGATTATAATTTAATGTGTAGTTTTTATTACAAAGACATCTAGATCTTCGCACACTCGTCGTGACTGTGAAACGCATTCATTTAGACCTGAACAATTTGAGTTTATCATATATATTGAATACAGTTTCAAATCGTTCAGTAATATAGATAGTGTTTGAATAAATATTTTTTTAGATTTCATAACATGGTGTTTCTTTTCGAAAAGAAAAACAGTAGGAATATCCAATAGAATCTTAATGTCCACCTTGATCTTTAAATATTTGTTTGATATTGGGTTTGCGTGTATTATTGTGACAATGACGAACTCTCAGTGTTTCATAAAATGAATATTATTCTAAATGAGATTCAAAACAATGAAGAACATCGATCAAATGAGTTCTCATAATCATCTTCAATCATTTCAAAGCTTTTTCATTCGATTGTAAGAAAGACTTAATTGAAAAATAGAGCAACATATTTTTACGAACTCTATATATAACCAGACAGAATTTGTCAAGCTCTACAAACTAGTATTGTGTTTGTGAATATGAATTTCCTGTTAAGTTAGAAATATATGATTAGACATACCGCAACTAAGCACATCGGTTTCGGGAGAAATTCAGAGATTCATCGAATGAAATAAATCATGGGATAGAATGGTGGATCAATGATATGTTGGACTCGATCGGTTTACTGTGGGACACATCAGTAACCAAAGGTCCTGACAATAGTAAAATTTTGTTTAATAACTTTATTTTTCGCGGATTGATCTTTCTCGAGTAAACAATTGGACTTATCACTCTTAAGACCAATGATAATGTAGCTGAAGAAAAAACAGACATCGTCATCCCTCCACACGCTGCTTGAATTCTTATAATTTTCAACTGTTTCAAGTGTTTTAAGCTCATTGAAGCTGCTTAAAAATAGTTTACAATGGTTAAAATTTTTAGATGGATAGTAAAAAATTTTACTCTCAACGTGATAACTGACATCTAGGCAAGAAAGTCCAAGAGAGTGACAGTTTGAAGCATGCCTGCGAAAATTGCCTCAGTGGATAGTCAGATAGCCTAAAGAAAGCATTCGAAATGAATCGTATCGTAGATTATTCATACTATTTATTATTAATGCGATCAAATTATCTACATTTCAAAAGAATCTTTTCATTTACCTCATTTCGTAGCTCAACATCTGTTTTCCTGTCGTGCGATTTCTTTCTCTTTTTCATTGATTCATATCTTCTTGAAATGTTTTAATGATTCGATAATCTTTCTCTTCATTACAGCTCTTTCGTAAATATCACAAACTTCGCATAAACCTGAAGTTCTAGTTTCACTCTCGAGGTCTTCAATATTGATAATTGTATTTCTATTCAGTCAAAGATGGAGAACATATCTAATTAGAAGATGGGTATGGGTGGGTGTATGCGGGTGTCGACGCAGGTGTGGGTGTGGATATGTGAGTCTGGGTGTAGGTATGGGTGTCGCTGTGTAGATGTGAGTATAGCTGTGGTGTGAGTGTAAGGAAGAGACTGATATCCACAGCCACACACTCCATCTGCATCCACATCCCCTTGTTTGAATTAATTAAATTTCAGTTTTGTTCAACTACTTTGTTTGTATTTGGTACAACTTGTTTCGATTTTCGCCACAGAACCAACCGTCTTGCAACCAATCGACAGAGTAATTCACAGAATTCAATGACACTCAATGCACTGAGACCAATCCACCTTCAATTGATCAATTACAATACAAGACAATTTGAGAACAACAAGATCTACTTACAGTCCAGTTTGGCCTCCGATCGCTGAAAATGTGTCGACAAGTGTCAATTTAGCCTGCTGTTTATTGATTACGACATATCGACTACCACATGTGACAGTCACTCGTAGATAATTGGTGTCCATGAAAGTATCGTAGTTCGCAGCAAAATCATTTGGTAAGGCTACACTGGAATTGCCATTTAGCAAAACAGTAGCCCATATTGCTTTTTGTACCGTTGTTGGCGCTGAAAGCGCACTAGCATCATAAGTAAAATACGTGTATGTACATTGTGAAGTACAGTGAGAGCACCAAGTAGTCATGAGAACCGAGCTCGAGGATAATTTTTGTCGTGCAATCATTGCACAGCTGTCGCTTGAGATGGATGGCATACAAATATTAACGAACAACAATTGATCGTGGTCTAACGAGAAGACATATCGTATGAGAAATGGAATAGGTATGATACAACCACACTCTGAAAAGATAAACGCTTGTTCGCACAACTCATGACATACAGCTTCAGAGTAGGCAACCTGATTTGCAAATTTAGACTCGAATATGGCCTCATATAAGTCAATCAGATTCTGTCCAACTACTGACGTACAATTCGTGTAAGGTGCGGGAAGGAAAATTGTTTGGCTTTTTCGATATGTTATTGTATGAGCCAGGCCAGGTCGTAGTCGTAGACCATTGGTGACAGTTAGCGGTGGTTCATCGTTGTCATGCAGTAGTAAAATTAATCCGTCTTCGAAGGATGTCAGTGGAACGTTGAGATGTCGCGGTAGGTAAAATTCCACAGAAAGGCCCTCGAAAAGTGGAGCAGTTGAGGCCATATCGGCTAGTGTAAATAATTTATCTACGCCTGCTTTCCAATTGAATGTAAAGCAATTACCAAAGACTGACGAAAGAGAACGAACAAAATTCGACGAACAATCAATACCATTGTACGAGCATCTGAGTAACATATCGGAAAGCTGAAATCCCATTTTGATTATTTCATCGGATTTGTTTCGATTGACCATATCGATAGCCATAGAATAAGCCAATATTTGCTGAGTCGATTCAGTTAAATTGATACCATTCTCTCGAGCATAAGCGTGTAACGCATCGTTTATTTGATCTTTTCTGAAAGGATTGGTATTGCACACAGTTACAGCTGGAAATGACATATTTCTTTGTAGCACAATATCCACAGTGGTCTGCGTAGGAAAAGTTCGATACTGAAGTACTGTTGAAACAACAAAGTGAGACATCCAACCAAATGTCATCAAAAAAGCAAAAATCCAGAATGTAAGATGCAACTTATTGTAGGCAGCCCCGATATTAGGCAGACCGTGTGTAGTAGTGTTAAGCATGTAATCAGTGAAGATTGAGAGCCGTCGTCGTCCAATGAAAGGATGAGGTCGAGATCTTCCGATTGTTTCCTTCATTTGAATCGATTGCATTATTTTTTACACATTGATACAAAATATGTATTGAAAATTTCCAACTATCATCTAAAAAAACGAAGTCCGGGAATCAAATTTATTTTCATAGAGAAATACTAACAGATTTTATCTTGAAGAAAAAGACAACATGTTCGATGTTGAAAAAATAATATCCCTTTTATGAACAGAGTAAAGCTTTTAACTGTACAACATATAGATTTGATTTTGGATCATCATCTCATAGGAGATCAGTTCACTTGTTTATTCTCAATACTTTTAAATTAGTTGAATTACTCTATAAAATGATCCTGATGCTTCTCAAATCATCGCTTAACATGATAGGTGTCCGTCAATACAGAGTTCTTGCTATAGATTTACTTCACAGTTTCAATTGATGTCTACTGTACTGAGCCATCCGAGCTTTGAGTATAACATCAACTCAGATTTCGTTGAGTCAAATACTAAACTATGATGAATCCATTCAAAATGCTTAGACTTTTCACACATCTAATTTTATTGTTTGAATCATTTTCATCGATACGAATGATAAATCGAACTCTAATCATTCTTCATCATGTCATTTTTCTTGACTTCATTTGTAGACATGATTTGAATCCGTATGAAAGTGTGTTTAAGATCTTGCTTTATACTCAAAATGAATTCCAAACAGGCTTGCTTCAGATGAATGACAATATAGCAATCAAGATCATCTTCCATTACATCTTTTGTTTATTATGGAACAATAAAACAACGTTTCACATGATAGTTTTAATATAGAAGGGAATTCTATCTAACTGTTTCCATATGTGACATTATCTAGCCGGTTGTCTGATAGTTTTCGATTATTCTTCTGTTTTACTTACTGTTTTTCTGGTTTAAGACTCTCTCATTTAGTATAGCTGCGTCTTTTCTTTTATCAACAGACAAAATGAATACTTATGAACAATCATGCTTAGATTTTTTTTCTCGAGCAAATCTATCGAACGTGCTTTTGTTCGCGAGGAACATGGAAATTGTCAATATTGAAACAGATTTCTGTTTGGCTACATGAGACTAAACAGCAATGCATGCTGTAAAATGAGAAAGAGAGATATGGAAGCATGAAGGATGGAAACAACGAGTGAGTTCACAGTAAGGCTAGATTTTGATGCCACATTTTCTATTTAGTTTGTTGCCTTCATGACTTGTCTACATCAAAAACTTTTGATGAACACAAAGTATCAGAGGTTTCCTTTGGTTTCTTTCTTCTGGTTCGTTTTTACTTCGAATGAATCGATATCAAACAAAGAAACATGGCGATGAGGAAAACCATCAAAGAATATGAACAAAAAAAAAACAGATATCGATAATAGCAGAATGTGAAGGCATATCGTGTATATGCCTGTAACACAAAGACGAAAAAATTTTCCACGAAGCAAGACTGAAATTCGCAACTATCATGGCGAAAAGTTGAAGTACGAAACAGTAGATTCGTGAGCTTTCACGCTCTAAGAAGTGTTGCAACATCTTTATCGATCCTTTAAAATTTTCTTCTAAACAAGATTTCTGAAATTTATCATTGATGAAGAAATCGAAAAGTTGGTTTAATTGAGAACAGAATTCTTCGATTGCAAATATTTCCATTGATGACTTGTCTTATATGATGACCTAGTCGGACAAATACACTTCTGTAACATCAAAGCCAAAAGATCACGATGTCTCATTGAAGCTCTGATGCACAATACGTTGAACATCATTTTCTTTAAATCTCCGTGAGTATGGGTAAGGTGGGTGTGGATGGATGTGGGCGTGGATATGGATGTTGATTCGATAATAAACTCACACCAACACACCCACACCCACACCCACCCTCTTCAGCTTCTCTTTCTTCTGGTCAAAACCCGGGCTCGATAACTATAAGCGATCGAGAGTTATTCAAAAAAGTGTGATTGGCATTAAAAAGAAACAATCCGATCATAGTTCGTTTAAATAATTTTTTTTTCTATAAAATAAGATAATCGATATCATCGTGATTCAATAATGGAAATCTAAACTACGTATGTATATTAGAATGTATATAATTTCTTGTTTCTAATTATTCTACTCCGACAACTTCCGCGGCGCCAATGGCCATGACTTCAATTGCAATCTTCAAATCTTCTAAAGATAGTTCTTCGTCGTAACAATGAACATTCTTAATATTTCCTGGACCATAAATAATGCAAGCTTCCAATCCAGCATTATGCACCACGAATCGTTGATCATCAGAACCAGGAGAACAAACTACTGTAGCTTCTTTTCCAGTAACTGTTCGAATTGCATTTCGAAAGATGCATGACAATGGTTGTTCGGGATCTACCCATGTGGATTTGGCAGCATATCGTTCTTCGTATTTGTATATAAAATTCGAGTTTTCTAATGCTAATCGTTTCAAAATGGAGTGAATTTCAGAACGAGCTTCATCAAGACATTCACCAGGAACTAGACGTCTATCAAAAGAGACTTTGCAAACATCTGGTACAGAATTTGTATTAGTACCACCTTGTATGATTGTGAATGCAAGACTAGCTTTTCTCGCTTCGAATGGTATAACATTGGTATCGATCTTTTTTGCATGGACAACGCTTAGTTCTTCTGTAGCGACAGTAATAAATTTTGCACAGTTTTCTATGGCATTGACACCCAATGCTGGCATGGATCCATGAGATGATTTACCGTAAAAGGTAATGTCACCCCATATTGTTCCTCGATGGCCACAACATACATTACAGGAATTTAAAGGTTCTGTAATAACGACGGCAGTCGTTTTTTCCTTTGTAATGTATCCTTTTTCAACTAGATATCCCATACCAGCATTTCGAATGCCCGTGGTTTCTTCATCGACTACGGCCGATTGTTCAATTGTTCCTCTCAGTTTCAATCCAGCCACTTTCAACGCTTGAATGGCATATATTTGAGCAGCAATTCCACCTTTCATATCAGATACACCTCTACCATAAATCTTTCCATTTTTGACCTCTCCACCAAAAGGATCGAACTTCCACCTTGAAACATCACCTTCGTGAACGACATCTACATGCCCATTAAAATGAATTGTTTTTTCACTCGCAGAAGATGCATTCGGTGGAAGCCTAGCAATAATATTGATTCGTTCCAGGTTTTCTCCATGAGGTGCCAATGTAGCGGCTTCTTCTGGAGTAAGTAGAACATACTTGATATCATAACCAAAAGATTCAAGCTTATTACCAATAAGTTCAATTATTTGGCGATAATTATATCCAGGAGGATTTCTAGTATCTATGCGAACGAGTTCTGTCAAGAAAGTAATTGCATCGGGAAGAAGCATTTCGGCTGCAGCATGAATTGCCGAGAGTTGATCAGATGAGAGCGTGGCCATGTCAATATCTTTGAAAAGCAAATTTATATATAATAAACGAAGTAATTAGAAAAAGCTAAGGAATAATTAAAAAATAGCTCGTTATTTTTCTTTGCTGGTGTCTGTCCAGCAGTATCAATCACTTTTCATTCTCAATATTTGTTCTTTTTCGGAACTTTTTAAAATCATTTTTTTTGTAAATGACAACAGTTTACATAACACGTATGAAAACTAGTTTAGAACTCGTTGATATGATTACACAGAAATCAATATACTGTATAAATTGGACCTTAACCCTAAAGGGACAGTAAGACAGTTTGAAAGAAAAATACTGATCAAGAAAGATATTCAGGGACGACAAAGTTGTACCTAGAGTTGAACAATTGTTAAATCTAATTTAAAATAACGAAAAACATGATGGTACACTCATCTTTCTTCTACAATAATGATCACCTCTTCCTTACCAGTCTACTTACTTTCAGTAAAATAAGAGAGATAGATCTCAATCTAGTGAAAGACAGGCTAATAGAATGAAATAGTTTATAGTAAAGAAGCGTCAATGATGGGAGGAAGTAAAAATAAGGTGGACTAAAGAGGAGAAAATGTGGTAAGGTGTGAATAGTATAGAACAATCGATGACTTAAGGATGCGAAAGTAAAAAAAGAGTGATAAGAACGAAAAAGAGCTTACTCGTATTACATTCACTATATTGATAGCATCCTTCTTACCGGCATCTTTACCTTCGTGTCAACAATCAAAGATGCAAGATCTATCTATAGTGAATGAAGGACATTTTACAATGTTTTCATTCCTTGGAGTACAATTTCCAATATGGAGAATGACGCTTATCTTAATAATAATATGCTTGTCTAAAATTGAAATAAACTTTCTCACGTCGTGGATTCGCACAGTCGACTAATGCAAATTCGATCGACAAATGAAGGACAAATCGATAGTATGAATCACAATTATTGGTTCTATGAAGAATAACTAGTTCGAACGTCTTCAATTGTTCGAATTCGATGAGGACACGATCTTCATGTTGGAGATGCGAATGAAATTGTATCTCTTTCTTTATATTCATAATGATTAATAAGTAATGTTTAATAAAGATTTTAATACTACCATACGAACTAAACTTGATGAAGACGAACGCAGACTAAGTGTTAACATCGATATGATAATCGAAGGTTTACCTTCGCTCATATTCATTTCCATCACAATATTTTTGATAGTCTGATCATTTCTTGACAATTGTGGTTGCATCATATGACGAGCAACAGCGACTTGAATTTCTCGAATAGTCATGTTCATTTCTAACTGTAAAATTAAGCATGGTGGATTTTCACGAGTACCTAGTTTGAGTGTGATATATTCGATGTTTCTTTTTTCGAAATCTTTTTGTTTTCTTTGATGAGTAAAATAAAAAAATTCTCTCGATATGCTATTCAATAATCCAAACAACAAGTATATCATCTAACAGTGTTCATTGTTCTTTTGTGAAAAAAAAAACTTCCGGAGGATTTTCTACTTTTGATCGTTCACTTATCGATCATTGACGAATTGTTTGTAACTCTAGAACTGATTGAAGTTTTTTATTCAAATGCCAGGATTTTAATAATTCATTGATTTCAAATCTTCTTGATATTAGTAATCAATCTCGATTCATCATTGTATCTTTTCCTTTCATTGTGAAATGTCATACAGATAATTGCAATCATGACTATTTCATACTTCCGAGCTGAAATCATACACATAAACAAATTTCGCTGCTGTTACAGGTCACTGAACGCGATAGTAAGTTTTCTATATTAACATATGTACGCCCAGCTCTGATAATTGACTATAAGCCTTCGCATCTCGATTATACATGTCATTGTACTAGTACCAAGTCAGATGTAACACTAATATTCTTAAATTTTTATCGAGCATGAATGAACACGTTTGAAGGTGTTTTAATAAAAAATGTATCATATTCTACGAAGAGAGAACAATCATCAATTTCATTTCTTAAAATTGTACTGGTTGGTGTCTTTAAAAGTGAGATTCGAAGTCTACGATCCAAAAGAGCATTCGGTTGAGATTCTCAACGATGTATGGATATATGAATTATTTCGAGTTTTAATGTCATTGTAGTCTCGAAAAGACTTTGAGTCTCAATCAGAGGCAATGTTTGTTTTCTTGATAAATTAACTTCAAATTCATAATGATTCGTTAAAAATGTAATATATGATTTGTGATAATACCGACTGCTGATCAGTCGAAAAAAAAAACAGATTGATATTGTTGTAAGACGGTTTCTTCTTTCAGAATATTTTTTGACTTTATTCTTGTTCGTAAAATTCAAATACAAGGTTCTATGAGACAGACATTAGAAGCAAACGAAATATGATTCTCAGAGATCGGATTGACACTTATTTTTTATAGCCAGCAAACGCGTCAGAATTGATGAAATCAGAATTTCACACTTTGTAACTTTTCTGTCATTTATCTTAGAAAACAATGTTACACTGCAAATTCTAGCTCGCTACCGTAGTCTTATCAGGATTCGTTATTCCATCAAATGTTCATGTTGTAAACGATCAAAATGAACTCGTTCAACAATTGATCAATGAAGCACGTGAGGTCAAACTAAAAGTTGATGAATCGAAAGTAGTTACACGATCGATGGGTGCAAATAGTGATCTAGCTACTATGCCTTTGATTACTGATCCCATATTGAACGTGTCAAGTGAAGCGATTGAAAAGGGTAAAATCTGCACTCTATTTCAACTCATGAAAATAAAAAAATTCAATAGCTGTTATCATGTTCGGGCAACGCGTGTTGTCAAAACTGAAAAAAAGGATTAAGCATGTCATTCACAAACAGAGCCTTATACTTCAATCGATTCTATTTAACCAGCACGATTTATTCGTTTGCAAGATAATTAAAAAATGTAGTTAATGTTTTCTTATATTTTTGTTCGACTTGTTGCTTCTACTAACAATGTTGAACTTCAAATATATCCAGTCCTACATTAGTTTTTATGCTCCTTTTTGATTATATAGTTGTAACGACAAACTGAAAGAGTAGCTTACCACCATCCTTGGTAATAATGTTTATTGAGCTATTTTACATACAACACATGCTTACATAGCAGAGAGCAAGAGAGAGATGAATATAGGAAAGAACAATAGAGATAAGATAAAGAGGAAAATGAAAAGGAAGATCAGCGGAACGTGATATCAATATCAGAACAATAATCTTCACAACTTCCAATATTTATTCATGCCGAAATGAAAATACAATAATGAGCTTTATTCTCAATTCGCTTGTTGGTCATGAACATGCATAAAAAATGACCACTGACTAGATTGTTTGGTTCTAAATGTGATCTCTTTTCTTTATCTTTCTTTTTCAATCGTCGTACTAGGATGTCCTAGCAAGAATATTGAGAAAGAAAAATAAAATAAAAGAGATCGTGCTTAGCAACAAACAGGTTAGTCTGTCGTCATTATTTTAGGTGTTTTTGTAGCCAACAAGCGAATTGAGAATAAGACACATTTGCGACAAGTATGTTGCCGTGCTATAGAGATATTCATGTGACTCAGACTGGACAAAAACGATCGATAGACTGTTCGGTATCATACGCATTATACAGGCAGCATTCGTCGCTAGTGACAAAATGCTACCGGTGTATCCAGTAATGAACCGGCGGTAATTTGATACTTAAGTGATCAGCTATCTGCTGATTGTAGTATACCGATATTTGTTCTCGGACCGACAATCAACTACCAATATACACTCGCTACTTATGGATATCGGTAGTAGTGCCAACAAACGTGCAACATGCATATACATACCACATTCTAATCATATCGATTTATAGCTGTGGATCAATCTTTTTCGAAAGAATTAATCATGTTTTTATTTTCTCTAGATTAATTCTCTGTTCTACGATAAACTACTTTCAACACATAAGGACTAGTGTTTATCAACATCAACAATTCATATGTGATCTTTCTACTAATTCAAACATTTATTTTTTTTTTTCATAATGTTTCGATGAAGAGTTTATCTATCATTAATCAAATAGAGAAAAAAACGAAAAAAAATCATCAGGCTACATATAATAAATTTAAAAAATTAAAGAAAAAAGAAAATTTATTGCTTATTTTTTTGCTTCTTTCAATTCATTGACCATTGATTCAGATAATTTAAATTTTTGTACTTTTCCTGTTGGTGTCATAATAAATTTATCAACAAATCGAATATATTTTGGAATTTTAAAAAATGCTAATTTATCAGCAAGAAATTTTTTAATATCTTCTATTTGACATGAAGATGCATCTGGTTTTAATTTAATCCATGCACATACTTCTTCACCATGACGTTCATCAGGAATAGAAAAAACTTGTGCTTCAGCAACACTTGGATGTTCAATTATTGTATTTTCAATTTCAATTGGATAAATATTAATACCACCACGAATAATCATTTCTTTTTGACGTCCAACAAAATAAAGATAACCATCTTCATCCATAGTTGCTTGATCACCTGTTCGAAGCCATCCTGATGATGTTAACGCTTCTTTGGTTTTCTCTGGATCACCATAATACCCAATCATAATTGGATAACCTCTTGCCCAAATTTCTCCTTGTTGTCCAATAGGTACAGCATTTCCTTCTCGATCAGCAACTTTAATTTCTAAACGTTGCATACATCGTCCAAGAGATCCTAAACGACGTTTTGGATCTTCATCACCAGCCCACATACCACTTGTAAGTAATGCAGCATTTTCTGTCATTCCATAACCTTGAGCAGCACGTGTAACTGGAATTTCGTTTTCTAATTGACGTAAAAAATCACAATGCATTGGACTTGCACCAAGTGCAGAATAGACTAATGAACTTAAATTATATTTTTTTTTATCTGGATGTGTTAAAATATCTCGAAAGATAATTGGTGCACCAATAAGTGCTGTACATTTTTCTTCATGTATAGCTTTCATTGTTGAAACTGTATCAGGTAAAATAGCTGGAACAATAATTTGACATTTTGCTACAGCAGTATTAAGTACACCGACAACTTCTGCAAAAATATGAAAGAATGGAATAGGAACACAAAGACGAGTAAAGTAAGGTCCAAGATGTTCCCATTGAGCATGAACTAAATTGAGTATACCAAAATTAGTTAATGTTGCTGCTTTTGGTTGACCGGTTGTACCTGATGTATAATATATTGCAACAGGTGAATCAGGATTAATAGATGCTTGTCGTTCATTTAATTCAGTATGTGATAATTTTTTACCTTGTTCAATTAAATTATTATATGAATGTAGTCCAGATATAGATGATTGTTTACCAGTTAGAATAACATGTTTTAATGTTGGTAATAGTTTTGATGAAAGTTCTCGAGATATTGAATGTTGATCAAGTTCTGGTACAAGTCGACGAAATATTGATAATGATTCGATAATTTTAACTGTTGGTGAAAGTAAAAGACCTTTACATCCAACTTTATTTATACAATATTCAAGTTCACGTCCAACATAAGCTGGATTTATATTTACCTAAGATAATTATCCTATAGAATATTTCATAATAAAATAAAATTTTACTTTGATAAGACCTAATTTAGATGCAGCAAATGACATTGCAACATTTTCTGATGTATTTGGTAACCAAACAGCAAATCGATCACCTTTTTCAAAGCCTAATTCCATAAGAGATGCAGCTAAACTATCAACTTCATCTTTTAATAATTTAAATGTATATCGTTTTTGTTCACCTAAAAAAAAAACTTTATCTTATAAATTTTGAAGTTTGATAATTATTTGATTGATATACTTTTAAAAATATAACATTCATGATCAGGATATTTAGCAGCTGTTTCATCAAAACTTTGACTTAATGTTTTATACACAAATGGAAGTGATGAAACATGATGAAAATAACTTGAAGTTAATTTTGTTGATGATGTTGTCGAATTATATCGTTTTTTAAATTGAAATATAATCCAAGTGATTTGTGGACGTGTAATAAAACGTTTCGTAGTACTAATAAACATGTCTATATCAAACCAAAAAATAAAATAAAATAAAAAACGTCATGTATGTATCTTTGCTGATGCGTTAGCACACATTATTATCAACCACACACCTTTCTCTTCATTTTTATCGCTGTTGATTTTTTTTATTTCTTCAGACTAGTCTAAACATATACAGAAGAAAGAGAACGAAAAATCCATGGTAAAGTTTGGAAGTTGAAGGTATCACATGGTCTTGACAGAGAATATTGCTACCTAGATAGAGGTTGTTTTTTTCGTGATCATTTTATAAAAATTGAATTTTTACTTAGTAATATTTTTATTACAGTTAAAAACAATGTATTAGTAAAATCAACAATTGTTACAAGAAAAAAAAAGAACTCAGATTATTAATCGTTTGGCATTGATTGATTTTTATTATTAGTTACAATATAAGAAAAAAAAAAACGATTAAAAATCAAAAAACAAATAATAATTAATTTGATACAATAAAACACCTCCAAGTCGATAATATAACTTTTTTTTTAAGAAAGAATTTTTATTGATATCTTACTAGAATATTTCAAATTTATTCATGGCTAATAGAGTTTCAATAAGAATTAATTTTACGAATCGATTATTTTCTTTTCTGTAATAATTAAAAATGACAGATAAAAACAAAAAAGACAATCACAAATTCTGAAACGGTGCTCACTGGAGAGCGATGAGTTAACCTCTAAAGCATTCTTATAATAGTTGGACCTGTTGATGTATATGTCAATGGCAAATATATTGGAATATTTGATTTGGTGATCCTTGTTTTTTAAATGAACAGTGTTCTCATAGACACTTCATGACACAAAGGATAGAACTACTGCATAAATTATCATTTTCATCAAATTTTAATCTAGAAAAAAATCTACATATCACTAATACAATTCAGTTAAGTGTATATGTGCAATTTTTTCAAGTGTATTTTAAGAAATGACGAAGATTTTCTCTCAAACATACTCTCCTCAGAATAGAAGAGCATGACTTTATACGATATCTCGATGGATCACCAGTTTTTAGGTGACTTCACATTGACAGTTCATTTTTTATTAATTCACTACTGTGCTCATAATGGTCACAATCAACGACCTTCACCTCTAGAATTACAGACCATGGTCGTAATTTACAAACTTGTCTTGGGAAAATAGATTTGAGTTCATCATGAGAATTATGAAGAGTAATCTATACATGTTCAGAATCATATTTTTCAAGAGTTTTATGATTCTTTCCACCAGAAAGTGAGTACAGCACTCAAAGAAAAATTTCCGAAAGTTTCTTCACGAATCCAGATTATTATTGATCCAAAGGGCGTGAAATAATTATTACTCATGCTTTTGCAAGCAGCAGCACAAGAGGGTGCGCGTGTGAGCGTTGATGCACTTCTCTTCTCCGACAACACCCATACACCTTCTCTTGGTCTTGCTTATGCTACGATGAATGATTACAATACAGCTTATACATATGTCAAACAAGCTTTACAAATTTTGTTGACTACACTAGATGTTGATCATATTGAGATGTGTGATATTCATCGAATTTGGACGACATTTACATAAAAATAATAGCCGAAATTGACAGCAAACCAACGAATGAAAAAAAAATGAGGAAGATTCAACTGAAAAACAGGTCAAACTGGATGAAGCAAAAAAATACTATACAGGAGCTTATCGTATTGTTCAAGAGACACTCAATCCTGAACATAAAAAAGTGAAACAATGTCTTGATTTGAACAATTTATTAAAAGAAAAAAATAGTATAGTAGAAGAGCAATGGTTTACGTAGTCATGATAACTAAACAATAAAATCAAGAAAACAGAAAACTAATTAGTTTGAGTATTATTAGAGAATGAAGATAATAAAGCATAAGTCATAAAATTTAGCTTCGTCTCTTGTGATTGACAAAATGCAACTTTTTTTAATATTACTCTGCATAGTGATCAGTATACTTGTAATCATAGCATTTCTTCATGTGACCATGGTGACCATAGTATTTCGAAGCAGTTTTTGCGCTAACAGCTTGTTCTTTCAATCTTGTTTGCATATTTTCTGCCATTCGAACTAACATTGCAATCATACCTCTCTCGTCATCCAAATGTTCTACTTGTCTGAGAAGATTAATTTGTTCAGTAATTAATGCAATAGCATCATCTCTTTTGTTACTATCTATCAATTGAGCAATTCGATCATCCATTTCTCCTGCAACTTGAACAGTATGCAAAATTTTTACTTTTGGATGAATTTCTTGAATAAATGATTCATCATTAACGAATGTTAATGATAGTTGACCACTAACTATTAATGGTTCTCCTTCAACATCATCAGGACGATTGTATTTCAATTGATAGTCGAGAACTTCAACTTCAGTACCATCAGGTACTGTTGCAGAAGCTGTAAAATCACAGAGAATAGCACGAAGATTATCGGCATGAAGATCGCCAAGATTTGCACCAAGTGCAATGTTTTCATGACCCCATATTTTTGTTACGATGGCATCATTACGACCACGAATTATTAGTTGAGCTTTTGTTCCACAAACATCAAAAACACTCTGAAGTGCTTTTGTTATCAATGTTACAATAACTTCAGCTGATTCAAGGAAAAAGAATTGACCACGTCCAGCTTCAGCAATACCCTTCATCATTGCTTCATCAAAATCTTCTCCAACACCAAATGAATCGATAATAATTCCATTTTCGTTATATTTTGTAACAGCTTTCATGATTTCATCTTTTGTTTGTAATCCAACATTAGCCAATCCATCTGATAAGACGAACATACGTTTGGAATATCCAGGATGTACATATTTTTCAAAAAGTTTTGCACCTGCTTCAATACCACCGGATAAGAAAGTACTACCGCCAGTCTTAATTCCATTTACAACTGAATAAAGAACTTGACGAGTTGATGCACGTGCATTTTCGAAGACATTCCAAACACTATCATCATAAGCAACGAGATGTACAACATCGTCATCATGAAGCAAATCAAGTACCGATATAACAGCTTTTTTTGCAAATTCTAATTTATTATTTGATTCCATTGAACCACTACGATCAAGTACTAATACCAGATTGATTGGATTTCGTTTTGTTGCTTCAGCATTTTCTTCATTTTTCTTTGTTTCAATTTCGAATCGAGCTCTTTTATTATTTACTACACCGATAATTGCATATGAATTATCCGGAATACAACGAATATTAATCGAAGCCATTTTAACAATAATAATTTCTTATGGTTATTGTTCAATCTTTAGTAGTAAAAAAAAA